AAACCGAGCAGTATTTTCCAAATTCATCTTGGACAGGTGACACGAGGCTGTGCTATTAACAAAAATTTCAGATTTGCTTCTCTACAATAGATTCCGTTTCTTCATCTAGAGCCTACAAGAGATAAATGTATAAAAAGCTCCTTTCTTCGAAGCAAGTATTACTCTTTCATTGCTTTCCAGGTTCGGGGAAAATTTCGTTCCCTCAAAGGAAATTTTAGCTGAAGAAAGAGAATTTGCTTAAAACGGGCTTCATTACCGTCTCGGAATGCCGTCAAGGGCCGGCACTTTGACCGGCTTGATTCTTTCTCCTACTGCCATAGCTTCTCATACCCACATAACTGAAATATTTCTGGACAATGCTGGTACCCAGATTAATCTCGACCTATCGAAGGCCTGGACACTTGGAAACTAATTAAAGTTCAAGCCAACTGAAGCACTAGGTCTTGACGGCATTCCGGAACAGCGATGAAGCTTGTTTTTAAAGAACTTTTGCTGCTAGCAGCTTCAGTTGCCTTAAGAGAGAGAGATTTTTCCCAGGTTTAGAAAGCAACGGAAGTAACAATTTTTCCAAAAAGGGACTTTTACAGATGCATTAATCTGGAGACTTTGGATAGATACAGAGGAGCGAATCCGAAACTTTTGGTAAGAGGTATTCTATTACCTGCCTAGGATGATTTTTAGAAACACAGCTTGATTATAACAGCAATAAGTTGTATCATCAAAGCGTTTACATAGCAGACAAAGGATTCGTTTCTGGTAATTTTAACAAAAATGCCTTTAATGGCCATTCAATGGAGGATTATTTTAGAATCGCTTGAAAGAAAAACGACCGCCCAACAAATTCAAGGCTATCTCTGGGTATCTTTAGGATTGGGTCTTCCGATAACTGCAAGGGTTTTCCAGGATTCCATATTACGGCCGCTACTATATAATTTGGCCTACGAAAATTTCTCCAGTCTCGAGGACTTCCGGCCGAATATGGACATGATTGCATACGCTGTTAACTTGGGCTATTACAATAAGAGCACGCAAACTACACCTACTTATTTATGAATTAAGTTTATGAATACAGGTGGACACAAATTCAGCTTTCCTTCGACGGTGAGAAAACTAAAATGGCAAATATAGGTAAACAGCTCGGGATACATTTAGATAAGATAACGCACCCTCACATTTGACAGGCGGTGGTACAGCCGACTAAACTGACGGGAAGACTCAGTCGGATAAAGTCAAGCATTTATTGTCCAAGGAAAGGCAAACGGAAGTTTCTCATATCAGTTGCCGAATTTATTATACTATTTAAAGCTTCAGTTTTGTTTGCATCAACGTCGACAGGAAACAGTAGCGCCAATTGCGAAGAGCTTGTTGTTTCCCTGCACTTCGTATCATCCGGGCGTACAAACTACATGTATTCTTGTGGTCTTAATCCTAGCAGGAACGACAACTTGAAACTTAAAGGTTGATTAACGACGAAGGTTATGGGAACGCCTTATCATTAGCTTAAACGAACTAGGAGGTGTAACGATAACTTTCTGACAGGCTGAGTGGAAGCGACGCCGAAAAGAAGACCAGAATCTGTGGTCAAGGCCGTCATTCCAACAATCGCTGACTAGATTGCATAAAATATATGACTTAGTTTCTGATGCGACACTATTACAGCCACCTGCGTAGAGTTGGTAAAGCGCCTTCGCCGATATGCATGCGCCATAGTAGCGGTGTTGAGGACGAGGCCAATCACACTTTGTTGTCTAAAACTGTGTTGCGTTAAAATTGGCGTCGGATCGCCGAACGGAGGTTCACAAAAGCGATGAGCGTCGCTCTTGACGGCTCCATTCAGTACCTCTATAAAAGGGCTAATAAGCGGCAAGAGATGTATTAGTTAAGAAGGAAACACTAGGGAAAGGAGCGGGGAAACAGTTGACCAACCAAATTGAGGAAACTATTCTAGATGCAGATAGTCCTACAGGAGCTAAAGTTATGGCATTTCGTAAACAACTAAACATAACTAGCTTGCAGTCTCTGGTTTGAAGTTATAGTTCAATCAGCTTCGAACTAACAGCATACAATGTCTAGAATTTAGTGAGAATCCCACAGTACCATGTAAGGTCTGGTCTGTATGGTGAATCTGCCCCTAATCTTCTAAAAAATTAAGAAACAAGTAATTTCATTCTCTCAACAAAACGCTAAATCAACTCGGTTCCAATTTGTCTAAAACCCTTTTGTACTGGTTTTGTAATTCCGGTGCACCTGTCAAGTGAAAATAAATTTGCTGATTTAGCCAACCTTCATGATTACTTTGGTACAGTTGTTTTGATTAGCCTGTTCCAGGAAATCGGTGGTTTGCGCCAATTGTTTCTTCCCGGAATCGCAATAAAACCATTAGTACATTATCTATTTTTCTTCGTGATGGTTTAATAGTAGCCTGGTAAACTTACGGACATGTGAGGGTACATAAGGAAAATCGAAGCAGAATTTAAGCACACTTCGCTTTAGGAGCCCCGTCCGAAGCAATGTTTAATGACAGTATGGGACATGAAGAAATTAATTTATTTGCAACTTTCTCTTCTGCAAATTATTTTCTGATAATGATATTCAGAATTTATTAGCTTGTGCAAGTGATTTCGTTGCTCTCGTCCAATCTACGCCGTTCTGCCTTACAGTTAGGTTATTGCGGTAATCCCTTTCTGGAATTTCCCATTAGCCTGCATATATTTTTCCCCAATTACTGTTACAGCTGTTCTTATACTTAGAAAAATAATTGGCCTCGAAAATGTTTTATATACTCAATAATTTTTATCTTATCAGTGCAAGCTGAGATTTTATTATACCTAAATCCTTATCTTGTTGATTTTTGCCGACTGTAAATTATCTACCTATCATGGCTTTAAATCTATTAACTACCAAAAATGATACTCGAAACTGATGATTTATCGGTTGACTCTCATAATTGTTAAAATATTTTCTAAAAGGACAACAGAACTTGCTAAAAGCAAAAATTTTTCAATATGAGCTTTTCAGAAATTCAACGGTTCTTTTATAAAATATATATTATAATACAACCTTTACGAATATACATTCAGCAAAAAACTTAGAACTATGATCACTCTTCTATAGAATTGTATAACCTGCAAAACAGCCTGTATGGTCAGTTTGCACTGATAAGGTGCTTACCTACTAAACATAATGACACATGAGGTGGTTTAGGTTTGGAATTAGGCAAAAATGGCCAATCGGCTGAAACACTGTTTTTCAGTAATATGAAAAGTAAAAACTCAAAATATCTATTTATTTGATTCTGAAAGCAGAAAAAAGAGTAATAGAGAGGGGTCAGCTATAGTAAAGTATTCAGTGATTTTTCTTTAGTTAGTCTCTTGATACAGCGAAAAGAAATATTGCTACAAGACATTGAACTGTAATAGGAAAGTAATTGGTTGAACGGTAGAAACCTAGTTAAAGTAGAAGAGAGAATCTCAAATGACTGAAGCAGTTTATGTGAAACGTAACTTTCAATGCTAATGACGATGATCGAGACTGTTCGGAGGACGAAAAGTTCAAGCACCATGAAGCAGCCGAAGAGATACGCTGAAACTGAAAGGTATAGGACGATCACTTGAACTAATTTAATCAGGTACCATTCTGAACGCTTGGAAAATATAGATTTATAACAACTTTGTATTCTATACATACTAAAATTATATGTTATCCTATACCATAAAGATGATGGCTTAACAAGTTTAGGTAACGCTAATGTAACTTCTAATGTCAAAAGGCTTTTGGAATGGTCAACCTAGAACCCACCAATAATTGCATTATACATTATACACCATGATACTACCGTTTTCCGATTAGTTACTGAGCCATACTGCCCTATGATTGAACTTGTGGACAGCGAGAAGTATGATACAGATTACGAGGTTGTCTACATTCAATACAAGCACAATTTCATTTTGTTTATGAAACTCCTGTACTCCGCATAGGCGATAAAAAAACCGGTCAAGCCCGTTCCGGGTTTTGTTCGACATGGCCCCACTGCACATAGAACTGGTTACCCCGGTGAACAACAACACCGTCTGCTTAAATTAGGGCTTTTCGCCGATTTTTGGGCCCACTTATTATACTCAAACACTTCTTAAGCACGACAGGGAAAAGAGGTTAAGGGATCATCCAGGCAAGATTCTACCCCACGACTCCTGTTGGATTGGGTCGCCCTTTATTTGGAATAACGAGAAACACTGCATCACGACAATGAGGACGGAGCGATAAAGAACAAAAAGATTAGTTGGCCAACACGGAGGTATTGTCTTCTCCGAAAGTAAGCACTTGACCGCTTGAGTCACTTTCAGGATAGACAACTCCTGGCCCAGCCTTTTGTCTTCGTTTCAGATTACGCTAATGGTGAGACCTCCTGAAATACGGTGTCACTAGATGAGAAAATTCAAAAGAAGTGGTTGGTGAGAACTGATGAGGTGATGGACGCGATGCAGAGACGTAGGGGCCGAGCTACTTATATATTACTGACGCTTGGCCTATCTTAACGGAAAAGCCTATTTCTGTTCCAAATATTTGTTGCGCTGCATGGCATATGTCTTCCTATCATTATGCACGCTACGGCCAATGGCTCTGCTGCCGATTTTGTGTAGCCAGTGATTTAAAGGCATCCAGGGTACGACGGGCGCAATGGCAATTGTAATCATCTTACAGCCGATACTTTCAAAGCTAGATAAACCGAAAATTATAGGATCCCGACGAAATGATGCGAATAGACCTTAACATCAATCTACACCAGAAAGACCCATGACCCCGATACAGGGCTTTTTTCAAATCAAGTTTACGCAGTAGAGGTTTATTTTTCTAGGTGAGTGATAGTCCTGAGGGAACTATTAAATTTAATCCGACAGCCATGTGTGTCTATATCTGTCTTCCTTCATAGAGAGTCATTTTCTCCGACGTATTTGACTTAATCCCTACTCACGTTGGTTTTCAAAACACCTATGAGAGAGCCTCCTGAAAAACTGACAAACGTTGATACCTTATTAAGGTTTGCTGCCCAACAACGATGCTTTATTAATACGATTGGAAGAGCTGACGTCCAGTTCGAGATGGCCTAGCTCAGAAGATGAATTAAAATACTAGTAGTTGTATGATACAGACAGGCTCTACCACACCGACACAGTTGAGCGCTGCAATTGAAGCAAGAACCCTTTGATCTATTTCTAAAGTAAATACTGAGTAATACATAGGGCTAGTTGTAGTACCCTATCATTATATTCGCTAATTTGCTGATTATGAAACGGGGCAGTGTTGTTATTGGGCGAGAGAACGATGTCTTTGTGGTTAGGAGTTGTAGCCATATTTCTGTGTTGTTTCTCGGCTGTTCTGTTGGTGACCGTGTGTTGCAGTAAACCAGCGTGTTCAGACGATTGCCTCTGTGCCGGAAGGTTTCGTGAATCGGAAAGTGTAAGTAAACGAAACCGACTTCTCTTATGTCTGTCCAAATCCACGTGAACACGATGTAAAAGGAAAGTAATATTCATCGAGTTAGAAAATATTGGTATTGAAAATATATGATAGGCGCAAGGTTTAGCAATATTTTTCGTAAATGGAAGTACAGACAGCTTGCTTTTTGTTCAAAACATTGCCTTACCATTGTTAAAGTCCCGGTTACGCACCTGGTTTACGTGAAATATCTCAAAGGCTCAAATCTGGTTTTCGAGTGTATGCTTTCTTAGGATTTTCAGACTTCTTCTAAATTTTACGCTCAAAAGTGGTATGCTATCCTAATTAAAACTATTGGATATAATTAAAACAAAATAAAGACAAAATTTTTGCTACGAAGTCTGGTTTGAAGTTAAATGGTTCGTAACTGTGACTGTACTCCTATTTAAACCATTACTGCATAATGGTCTAAGGAATTGATCGATAAAATCTAACCACTTTACTAACTTAAACCAAGGTCTCTGCTCTCGAACGGTACTCAGTTACTGTTTTACACATTACAGCTTCAGTTAAGAAAGTACAGAACATGGATTTTTAGCATAGGCCTTATTGTCAGCACGGTGGCCTGGACTGTTAAACCTCTGGCTGAAAGAGCAAGGGGGTCATTTGTTCAAGTTCCACCATCGGCTTATGCACAACACTGTGATGAATTAAGGCTTCAAGGTTTAGATACCTTGTAAATAGGCCACTTCTATTTTTCAAGGAAAAGGTTTCACAGCTACATTTATACGAGCACATCTTTGTATAATTTTGATGGTAATTTTGTGAATTAAGGAGACTGATGATACGAGGAAGGCTGTTCGAGAGAAGCTTCAGATCCGACGCGAAATGCCCCCGGAAGTTATTGAGCATATGGCTCGCATTTACGACCTTCCGCACGGCGCGAGTCCGGCCTGTGGAATGAGCGCATGTAGTTCTGAAGATGCAAGGATAAATATGCCGAAGTATAAGTACTTCTCTTTTGATAATCTAATAAAGCTTGTTAAAGAGAATAGCTCATCGGATAACGACACAACCATTGGAATATCAGAATACTTGTTACCCGCAGCAAAAGCTGTCGCCAAACCCAATCTGTGCCCAGCTTGTGGCACTTGCAGGCCATCTGATACATAATAAGCTTACTGAATCATGTGTGCCATCGAGAAGTGTCTATAAGATGAAATTAGTAATTCTCAGTTACTCTGTCCTGCCGGGTTTGCTACCTAATACTAGAAGGAGAAAATAAATGTCCTTTTGACAACATCACTTGGAAGCGTATTTGAGAGAATAGTCTGAGGTTCTCTTACAAACATTTTAACATTTATACTATGAAGTTCATCTTTATTTAGGCACAAATCATGAACGGACAGAAAGCATTGTATTACTTAATGATTTATTAGAGTTGTTATTCGTGCATGCTTGACAGTTTTCGATGTAATTGGTCACTGGTATGTTTTACTTTATTAATGTTAATTTTTTACTTTGCTAGTAAAAAATAGATGGGTAAAGCATGAGAAATAAAAAAATTGCAGTTTACGAAAAATGAAGGTAATTTTTTGTTTAATTGTATTGTAATAAAGAATTATATTAACAATAGTTAATAGGCAACAAAAGGATAGTCAATATCCACTTCACGCAAAAGCGATGAAGATCGTAACTTCATACCATCTCATTACACAGGCCCTTACGAAAAAGTTATAGGATTATATCTTTTGGCCCTTTTCCTATATAGTACCTAACATTGCAAATATCGCACTCAGTATGCTCAGGGTAGGGCGATGAATTCTTATGCTTCGTCACATGCGCTAAAGTTTCACTCTTGACGGTCATGTGTATTCAGTATAAATGACACCGCTATTACAGTTGCATTTCGGGTATAGATCACTCGTAATTTTCAAAATACTTAAAATTAAGTATCTGTAAATAATTCATAGTAAGCAATTTGAATTCGCTCAAATGACGAAAACGAGGTATCGTTTTCCACCATGATGATTTGGTTGTGTTCTACAAAAAACACTCGCGGCGAAGAATGATGAATGTATGCGTACCCGTTATGACAAACCGCTAAAGTTTTCCATATTTAAGTACTGTATTATGTATAAAATGAATGGTCAAAAAAGTATTGACCGTTTTACAACTAGATTTTCAAATAACGTACCTCAATTCATAGGTCTAGTAATATGAGTCAGCGTCCATGTTTTTTGAAACGCTAAGGCCTGGACAATAATAGATACGTAAAAATTCCGATTTAAGATAGATGGCTTTAAAGATGAGTAAAATGTCTACCAAATATCGCCATATTTCACGATTTTATTACGATAAAGGCATAAATGCTGCCCAGGCCCTTTTAAAAATATGCTGTATATGGTTGAGACTTCTTATTGAAATAAACAGCCCAAAAATAGTTCCATCGTTTCTGACATATAAATATCAATGTAAAAGGTGTTCCTAGAAGTGACCAATCAATTTTGAAAAAAGTTGATGGAATTATTAGGGAAATGAGATCAACGCGAGTGTACTACAAACTAAACATTTTTAAACCGCTGTAAAAAAGCCAGCTATGAACAAAGCTTGATCTATAAATGTCACATGAATTATTGCAAAATAATTTACTTGCTCATATTTCCATTTGCCAAACTACACAAACGCAACAAAATCGAGCCATTTTTTAGGCGGTTGGCCGCGGACAACGAAAAGCGGATCGTACACGACAATAATAGGTAGAGAAGAAAGAATAAGATAAGTTTCAGTATAGTTGGCAAAGTTCAAACTGATACCAAAGAGTGATTTGTAATGTTGTGGAAGGATTGTGCCTTATCGTCTGACAATTGGGCGGTCCCCCTCTGTCGACTTACCAGATTACAAGAAGTTATTGAATAAAATCAAGCACAACTAGTAAATATAAAGAAAGACGTCATTTTCTTTTGTAAAAAAAAACTTGTGTAGGAAATTTTAATGCATTTCCCGTATAGCTCGGTCTTGCGCTTTCAGACTATGATCTACTTGGGATCGCAAACTAACACCATCAAAGGAGTTTTTCAGGGAGAAATTCAAACATTAAGTGTCGCGGCTTTTCATCAAAAACCTACAGACGTTTCACGATGATGGGATTATAATATTACAATAATAATGGTAGAAGGTCATCGAGCAAAAATACGAATATATAGTTCAGTAATATTCTTTGCAAAAAAATATTCTGAATTTCGGATCAAAAACAGTCAATACCTCTTCGGCAACCTAATGTAGACAGACGGCCATTACTTTCCGCGAATAATAATCATCACTTTTTTGGATAGAGAGTAGTATTGTAAAAGGAAGAATATCTTTTGCACTTAAAAGCCTACTCACGTTACCAAAAGATCCTTAAATTATTGAAAGTTAAAGTGCAGCGATTATCTTAGTGGCAGTCCGTATTACTACTAGCAGCAGGCGTCTAGGGTGGCAAATTCCTGTAGGGTCTAAATTAATGTCGGGAAGAGAAAAGCAAGAGGGTTCTTTAACTAAAGAAAAAAGATAACTGTTATGATTGGTCTAAAGTATCATGTTGTGTGAGCTGTAGGGCGTCGTGGTGCCATAGCAGAAAATATCTTTTTTTTATTTATAACAATATTCTTTATGAAGTCGACACCTTCGGCCTACACTTCGCACTTCTTAAAGGTGAGTCGGTGGAGAGAGCATTGACAGAATCATATAAAAGACGAGAAAGCGATATAAGTAGTACTTCATAAATACAAAGTATGTGTTTGTGCATAGACTGTTAGGTTAGCAATAATATTTTTTTTTATATATAACAACAACAATTGACTGTATTGTGTATGTGCCGTAATTTTCTACAGCTTTCTCCCATTACGCAATCAATTCATTTGTTCCGTCCGTGAAACACATTTGGGTGTGGTGTGAGCTCGGTCAACCAGTTTTAGAAACCGGCTTCAATGAAAGGAAAATTCCGTTACAAATTTCATCTTTTACGATCATGAAAGATTATAATTTCAGGACGGGGACTAAGGTGTTCGCTTCAGATGCTGTGGAACTTATATACTCATTAAAAACCTATGTTAAAAAAAATACGTGTAAGGGACTTTGCGTGCACGCCGATTTTGCTTGTGGTATAATTCAACGTGCACCTGGACTTACAATTAGTTTCTCTCTGATCTTTAAAATCGACCTCAAAAAATACTTCCATTCCGCCATCTGTTTTCTTCGCTCTTTCTCCGTTAATAATGCTTCTCGCTACCCTTCCTTTTTCGTCATTCAAGATAACCCTTGGCACGAAGCTTAGACAATATGGTGGGTGCAAAACAACAATTATCACCTACAATAATGAAAAGTAGTTTTAAAAAAATATTTACAAAAAATCACAAGAATTGAACAACCAACTGGTGAATGAGACTTTAGAGAAGGAGATGAAATCTCATATAGGTTATGCGAAACATGTCAATGTACAAAACGCAACTGTATATACAAAAACCGTACTAGATGGAGAACAGTAGTCCCAAGAGACCGTAAAGGAGAAGTTGAGCCTAGGTTTCTTTGCAGGGCAGTTTTTACGACTTTTGCTATGTGAGGTCTGGAATTGTCGTAGAGAAGGATAACGCTGCCTTGTCTGTCAGATCACTTCCGTGGGGTAGCTTTGTGCACCTGATGCAACCGTGTCATAGACGGATTTTCATTGACCGTGTTGCTTTTGTTAAGCATTTCTGGGTGTAATAAAGCTTCCTAACCACTGAATGCAATTCATATTCCTTTCCGGATAGAGATCTGTCTTAAAAGTTAAAATTTAACGTTTACTCCTGCTATCCGTAACGATTCCATGTAGAACACTAGGATTTGCTGTGATCACATATTGTTCGATGCCAAACAAAATACTGAAAGGCATGTGTTTTTAATTTCATTTTGTAGATTCGGGAGACCTGCCGATAGTCGTATTACTACGAACCATATGTCTGCAACATTTAGTAACTGCTGCCGACCATCATTACCGATCATTGACGATTGTTTTAGGTGGTTTCCCTCGACAACTAATGATCGATTTAAACAGGGTGCATTTTTAATTCCAAGATATTAAGTTTCTTAAACCACGTTTGAGAAGTTCTCGTTAGCATGGATTCTACGTCGTACATCGCACGAATATCTGTGGTTTCCTGAAGATTGTCTTTGACAGATTTATCCATCTGAATATGAAATTCCGTTTATTGTGCAATAATACAACCGGGTCATAGAGGAGGGAGAATTATTTCGACACCCGTTCTACATCGTTATTTGCTGAGCTCAAAAATCTGCCGAAACGTCTAGAGTTATTTGGACCGTATATAGCAAATGTTATAACTAAGGGTGTGCTGGAGTGAGTTTGCTTAGTTCTTAATCTGAAAAATATACCTAAAGCCGGTTGATCATTTCAGGTCGATGAAAATCTTGAAGGCAAACAGGTGAACCTCGTGAATTAACTAAGAAGATAAGTACAGACTATCATCGGGAATCCTGAATGCATACAATTTTTGTCAAAAATGGAAAACCCGAGTGCCCTATGGACTTAGTAAAATGTTTCTCATTGTTTCTCAATATTTTGCCCAACCCCAAACAATCGTAACTATGATAAAAGGTCTCTTCAGAGAATTTTTAACATGAAGAGGAATGGTATTTCTACGATATGAAGCGGAGAAAGGACTGTAGGGCTCAAAGCGATATGTTTAATCCGAGAGTTAGTCAGAATAATCTGCGTTTGGTGGGACCTGAAGGGCTCTATACATTGAAAAAAGCTTTTGATTGAAAAAAATCAAGACTGTCAATAAATATCTGTATATGACTTACTTGTCTTGAATAAGCGAAGCTATCAAAAAAGATCCGGTGGAAAAGGCAAAGTGATCTTTCTTTAAGATAATGTTAGACCAGACATGGCAAAAGCTGTTGAAGCAACCCTGTAAAGGCCTGAGTAGAAGACTTTTTTGCCTCACCATTTACTTAAATTTCGTGCTGATGAAAAACCACTTTTTCCGATAGCTCTGAATACTACATTTGGCAATAAAGCGGGTCTTTTGTGACACAAGGCGAGTTCTTCAGCACCAAACCTCAAAACGTATAGCGAAAGAGAATTAACAAATTCGTTCAGGAACGGGAGAAGGTGGTAGAGAGTTAAATATATAATCCATTAATTTGTTGCTGAAGTTAGAATAAAATGCAGCAATCTTTTTGCAATATATTACTTGGTATGAGGTTGTGCATCAAGTTCCCATGTTTTTTTAAACTCTTCTCATTTCTCCTCACTTGAT